TAAGCTATAAATAATTACAATGAAAAAAGTGCCCTCAGATATGAAATTCCAAATCTATCTGTCGCCAACTAAATGATTAACATTACTGTAATTAGACTTGTCACACTACAATTTAGAATGGATCAAAGGAATCCCATAGAAAACAAGCTGATGATGTTAAATATTGTTCACCTCCATGTCAAACATTGATGATGTAAAATACTGTATATATCCATATTAAAAATTCAAATACTAATTAATCAACTTCACATCAAAGATAAAGCAGTTCCCCTCCAAACTCAAATCACAGCATACACCACAAGAGGAAATTCACTACTTAATTCAAAGCTTAAAATTTAAATACAAAATGAGATTAGCATAGATTTTTTGTCCAAATAAATAAGCATGGATTCAATACTTTCATATTGGAATACAGGAATATGAAACTAAATTTTTCCTATGACATAAGCACAAATATGTACTTATCTATATCTTTATCAACTCAACTTGTCCCCACGCAGGACTTAAGTAGATGAATATGCCTTTACAATCAATTCAACAAAAGCAAGAAATATGTTCTTATCTACATCTTCATCTATTCAGGTTTCATGGGATTTAGTGTAGAATCCTACTTATAGAATCATATGGATCACATGCCATGTTATCTGGTACAAGTGAGAGAGAGAGAGAGAGAGAGAGAGAGAGATTCATGTGCTCTTGCTGCCAATTTACATGGTTTAATTGAACATTAAAGCTCAAATTATATGGTTTTTACTTGCCCTAATTGAAAACGTCCATGAGGAAAATTGTGACATTCATCATACTTCTTGTTCAATGTTACAAATATTTCTATATCCTTGCACTCTCGCTTATTATATGATTAACAATTTCAAAGAGGTTCTTCATCCCCTTGCCCAAATTTTACATTCTAGAAATAATATAATATGGACAATACCAACCAACAAGTAAGACAAACTAAATTATGGCAATAAAAGAAAATCAAGCTCTTTAGCTTAATATGTACCTTACTGACTGCTTCAGATAAAGCTTTAGTTGTCAACACCATGGTGCTTTCATATGACGCATCCTCACATGAACCAGGCCACGAAACAGAAGGCATCATGGATTCAAGATCATGCTTATTCGGATTCTTCCGTGACAGGAACCCTTCAAAAAGGAATTCAAAATCAGGCGATTTCCACCAAAGCACCATAAGCTCTTGTCGTCTCAAGATATGGCATGCCAACACGAGGTATGGGTATGACCCTGAGCATGGGCACTCTTTTAGAACCAGTGGAGCTATTTTGCAACCACACGCCAGGGCATTTATGAAATGTTCAAACAGCAAATGTGATCCTTCAAATTCCAGAAAGACATCAAGAACTCTATCTAAGCTTGAATAATCATGGGGCACCTGCTGCCCAAACACTTCCATCATGAATGACAGAAATGGACCCCAGGCAATGTACTCTATGCTCCAAACATCTACTCCAAGTACAGAGAAAAATTCCTCGCATAGCCCATGAGAAGTAGGATACAAAAGTTCTTCATGTGAAACAAACCTCTTCAGTCGCCTCAATTTTTGAACAGAAGAATGCTTTGCCTGCTCAACAGAGTGCATACCCAAAAGCCTTGACAAGCAACACAGCAACTGAGTAGCAACTGGAATTAAGGATGGAGGTTCTTGAAGGGGAAGGTAGCCTTCAATGGGAAATCTAAAGGGGCGGGCCCCAAAATTTAATTCGCATCGTTCACCCTGAGAAAGAGAGATTGCAGGATAATATCCAGATACTGGTCCCATCTTACGAATGCCATGAAATGCAGCCCCAAGTGAGACACCATTTCTGTAGAATGATATTTCATTACAATCCAAATCTATGCAGCAGCCAATAGCATCACCAACAACCCACGATTGACCATATAGCTCAGCATCCTTGTTCCATTTTCTAACCCTCCTCCCATCAAATGCATACGAATCATCAGCATCACCTACACCCTTATGGTCAGTAAAAGGGCAAGAAACAGTTGCCCATCCAAGTTGCTGAATACCTGAAGTTTCTAGAATAACTTCATACATCCATTTACCTTTCCACACAAAAGCATTAGCTCTGGCACTGCTGAACATTGCTAAGCTCTCTACAAGCAAAGGTGGCTTAATAGGTCTAATATCACCACGAATACTGAATTCATCAAGACCAATGATGTGGGGACCACAGCCATTCCCAGGAATACAAATTCCATCTCTGTTTCTAACCAAAGCACTTGAATTGGCGTGCAATTTAGAGAATTCTTTCTGTATAATGCAGCGAACTAGATTGTTATCAATTGGACTGGGCAACAAACCAACAGATTTGTTAGGGAGACCAAGAACATATTCTAAGGTCCGCTCCACTGATTGATGGCCAAAATCATCACAGTATGAAACAAGATGGGTTTTCGACGAATTCTCTTTACTATCCTCGTCATTCAATATCACGGCCAGACCAGAAGAAACCCCACCAATCCGTAGGCTGTCTTCTGCCATTCTGGACAAGGGCGAGCAATATATGCCCAATACTATCCACAGCACTGGAAAAATTTATTCAAACTTCAATATGCCTAATAGAAAGCCAGTTATGATTCCAACACTGATCCATCCCAATCAAAACTCTGAAACCCAAGCAAATTACCATCATGACCTGAAATCTCAAGGTTGAAATGCATACAACTTAGTTTCATAAACCATCTACAGAACGTTGTCCTGTTGGTTTCGGATAAATACAGAAGAACACAAAATCAAAACTGCAACTTAAACATATTCCATGGACTTGGTTCACAGTGAAATTATATAGAACAACTCAATCAAGCTTAGCACAATTAGTTGGCAAAATTAACGTATATGTTTACAAACTACGTGACAATATATGTAAAATTCACATTCCCTTGTCCTTTCTCCTCCCCTCAGTTTTCTCGGGGACCAAACAGGATCAAGTGGAAAATGAATTGGAGGAAAATTCGGAATTTAATTTTCTAATTCAAAAAACAAACGTACAAAATCTTCAGTGCTATAATGGCAACACACAGAAAATTGAATAATTGGGAAATGATGAAAGAACTCACAGGTCCTGGCCATGTTTATCGTTTTCACAGTACATAGCGGCTAGGGTTTTGCAGCTGCCATTAAATTAGCATCGGCTATAATCTTTATGTGCCTGTGAGAGAGAGAGAGAGAGAGGGCGAGGAAGAAGGACAAAAATGGAATTTTGAAGTTTTCGCCAATAGTCGGGGGACGCGAGCGCACCACGAGACGAGAGAAAGACAAACAAAAACGAAACAAGCAGCTGCTGCTTCAAGCCCACGCACGCTAACCTCAAGCCCTAAAAATGGAACTTACCGACACGTGTCACGCTCCCGCGGGAGTTACTGGCTGCTGACCTGGCGGGTCGTGCTAAACTGCGCCGGTGGATGGACGTCTTGTGGCTGTAACTGGATGGATCCATGAGAATGACGTGTTCCGAGTTTTTTAATGTTTAAATTTATAAAAAAA